GAGCAGTCCCCTTCATACATCTGCATAACTGGGAGATATAGCAGTTTGAGCACGTTGTAGAGCAATGTTGGTAGAGTCAGGAACTGAACCAGAAACTCCTAAGTGGGTGCATCTACACAAGACGCTTACTGTGCAGTAGGTCAACATTACACAGTAGCATGCTGGTCAAAAACCGGTGCGCCGGTGCTACTGCGCAGTAACTGTGCATTTAGTTAGTACTTCATTAAGCATGTACTAAACTAAGAATGACTATAGAAAACTAACTATAGAAAGATGACATTTTCCAGTAACCATGATCTATTTAATAGACGGAGGGCAGGTCCATGTAGCAAGCTAACCGTGCCGGGCAATGAATGGCACCCTCACAACAGTCACCAGCTTGCAGTGTAAGAGAACCAGTGTGGCCACATCCATGTGACACCCTGGTATAGTAGCACGCTAACTAGCAATATAATTTGGCACTGCTAATCAGCTCAGTTAAAACACTGCACAGATTCAGTGACGCTGCTTCTGGTTTGGGAAGCAAGCACGCCACATAGAGCAGCACAGCAGATTTGAGGATGCGACTGCCAGACCCAACAAGTTTGCCATATAGACATGTCCTGACAGGACCAATTTTAATGATAAAATAATTCCTTTCTGGCTCTGACAGCTTTATTGAAATGAGTGGAGGGTCATGCTAGGAGCGTGCAAAGACACAGCACAAACACCCACCATCCTGTAACTGTTCCCAAAGCATAACCTCTGAGAACACACATGGCTACCACGGCACTACGTGGGGAGGGCAAGATGTTGCCCATAGCACCTCAACACTAGATGCGGCTGTGCTCCTTGCAGACGAGCCATGGTACTCATCTAGCTGCGTCAAGAATTCAGGCCGTGTTACAGCAAGTCAAAGCACAGCGTCTGAGTAGCCCCAGCCACTTCCTGAACTGCATTCAATTGCTCACAGCAGGAGGTTGTGACTAATGGACATACAGCGTGCCTTCAGTGCTCCAAGATCACGGGGCTGGTTTTCTTTAGTGCTGTAAAACACAGGCTCATTCTGATAACACATAAGTGTTAAATAACATCATGAAAAAGAAGCAGACTAACAGATGACAGTACACACCTCCATATACTCCCGAGATGCCTGGATTGCTAACCCCCTCCTTGGCCCCAGCTACCCTTATTGTGCCTGTAGAAAACAGATTTGTTAAACTGCCTCCATCAGAAGGGTGCAGCCTGGGTTGAACTATGAATGTAAAGTTACTGGCACAAGGAAAACAGGAGGAACTTGTGGAGTGAGGCTTGCTGGAGAAAGTACTTGAATATGGGACAGACTCTGGAGAGGATTCAGCAATAGTCTCTATAGTGGAGTGGTGGGGGGTGACATCATACAGATTAAGAAAATGGCTTCAAAATCTTTTTACTTGCTCTAATGAGATACCTTAACTCAACCTCATACAGGGTCTGATGAGAGGTTTTAGCACCCACAGGGACAGCTGCTTACTAATGCATATGGATGAAGTGGTTCTTTCACAAGCAAATAGTACAGCCACTGTTTAATCCCTGGAACATAGTTTATTAATAATATTAATCAGTCACTTGCATTGTCCATTATTTGTTCATTTTGCCACGTGTCATCCAATTTTTATAAAACAAACCTGGCTCCCCTCTCAAGTTTTCTGAATACATCAGAAAAAGGGACAAAGTCCTGCTTCAGGTTGTGGTTTCCAGATGCCATTTGCTGGAAGATTTTGAAAGCTTAGTTACATGAAGGAGAAAAGCCCATTTCAAATAAAAAGTCAAGTAGAGATCTAGTTGGCTCAGAGCAACGGAAATTCACTTTTTGGCTCAAAATGCAAGTGACCTCAGAAACAACACTGGCCTTTGAGTGTCTGGGAAGGAGCCACAGATTTTGTTTTATTCGGATTTCTGGTTGATCAGATTCAGACAGAAGGGGAAAGGAAAGCACAGGGAGAGGCAAAGAATGGCTTTTGCAGCTAGGACATGAATTGTTCACCACTCAATGAGAACAGGAAAGAAGTCAAGAAAGGTGAACATTCAAGGCTGCCAATGCATTAAAATATGTAATTCATAGCACTACTATAAAGTAAGTGCTTGGGATAGTTTTCAGTTTTGGCATAAACAAGTGCACTGGGATGTGTGGCTGCTTAAAGCAATATCAAACTTTGTCCAATGTTATTCCTAAGAAGCTGAGGTTCAATCATACTTAAATATGAAAGACAAAATTTACTTCTATACAAAAGGGCCAGAACCCCACTGGATTCAATGCAGTTGTGTTTGCTTATGCCAGCAGCATACCTAATCCATAGTACATCCTAAGTGAGCAGCCACACTGCCTTTTACTGCTTAGAATGGATTGCTACCTCTACATTGCCTCATCCCAATTAGCTGTGTCCCTACCAGCCCCACCTGCTATTACCTAGGCCAGAATTAAGGGTAGGTAAAGTAGGCAGCTTCCTACCTTAACAAGAAGTCAAGGGTGGCTAAAAAGCAAGTTGATTATTTAACAGCAACTACTGTTTTCTGTAGAGATTGGCAATGCTGTGCAACATGCCATGAACAGGCAGCACTTGTCTTTGGATGAGTCAGCTCATACTCAGCGGTTCTGAAGTTCCTAGATTAGCTACTGATCTTCACTCGTATTGTAAATAGTCCTGGCTGAAACTACGGTCTCTTACAAAAAAGGGAAGCCTCTTTCTAGACGTTATCATAAAAGAATAGCAGATGATCCTAAAGATGTGGCATCATTTATGAATTTTAAACCAAAGCTTGGCAGGTCATATGAACAGCTACTGTATACCAAAATGTTGACCAAGGGCTTGGACAGATGTTCAGTTTCTCCGGGAAGAGTCCCTACTCTGCCTGGAGAAATCAGGAGTGTACATGCTTTGTAATTTTTATCCCAAAGTACAAGTGGCCACTCTGGGAGAAAAATAACTCTGGAACAATACAAGCGAAGCGGCTCCCCAGAGAATCCTCTACAAACCCAGTGACCTTTGCTTCCTGTCTCCCCTTCACACAGGGCCAGAGAGAGTATGAGGCAGTCCCAGCCAAGAAAGGAGCAGAGTGGTTTTTGGGCTGGAAACACTCAGTGTTGAAGCACTTAGGGGACATGTTCTGTTCCTGGCTTGTTCCCTGCCTAGATCCCACTGCAGCATCTGGGTGCCAGGAAGCATACTCTGCCTGGCAGCAGTTGGGCTACAGCACAGCGTGCGGGAGGGGAGGGCAGAAGGACTCTGTGCATAGAATAGGTGCAGATTCCCCCCACCGCGAACTTTCCTGCCGATCCCTGCCCACATCTGACCCAGCCAGTCCTTCCACCCTGAGACCCAGGCTATTCTTGTGTGCTCTAGGGCCCCATGGCTGCCCAGTGTCTGCACTGCCGTCTTTTTGCTTCTCTGTGAGCATGTTTACACATGGCAGCAATAAACGCCAGTCTATAATGCGCCAAAGTTTATTGCTCCCAGGCACATTGTTTGTGTGCGTGCCTGGGACCACAGCATGTTGAGCTGTCAGAGTGCCCCATCTGGCAGGAGGGCCGGGGGTCAGCCTGCCAGCCTGGGGCTGCTCTGACCTGGCTCAACAGGCTGGTGGGGGCACAAGGGTGCTCCAGTGTGGGGCTAGCTGGCAAGCAGCCCCCGCACTGGAGCAACCTCATGCCTCTGCCAGCCATGTCAGGGTCTACATGTGCGTTACTGCAGAGTAAATACTCCACAGCAGGATAGTACTTGTATTTACAAGTGCTATTCTGCTCTGGATTTTATTAGTTTACTCCAGCCTAATAGTCCTGCACGTGTAAATGCCAAGATGTTTATTGCTGAGCTAATTAGCCTAATCCTCAGTAAATGTCTCATGTAGACAGGCCCTTTTTGAACCTTCAGTACAGGTCATTCATTCCATGGAAGTTTTTCTGTCAGGAAGACAAACCTGGGAGAGTTGTCCCAGATGATTTGAACGTGTGTAAGCAGTCTAAAGCAACATCATAGGATGGGTAAAGAAAACTAAGGCCAAATTAATTCTCTGATGGAATACTGTCAAGCTGTTATGGAAAGTGTTTTTTGATTTGACCCGGCTGTATAGAATAGAAACCATTCCCTTGGCTGGAATAGATGAATCCTATTTATCCCATGACGGGACCTTCTTTATATTTGTGGCATGTCTTGGAAAATATGACCTTCTAATGAAAGGACATTTCCAACAAATTACCTTGAAGGACTTTTATCATTAGTACCCAAGCAAAAATACTCAAAACAACATTAGTCTTGGGAATACAAACAAATAAACTATTTCTGCCTTCAAGGCTGCAAAGTATTTTCTATTATATTTGACTTGTTTATAAAGACATTAGTTAGCGAGAGCCGGCAACAACAATTGTGAGAATTGCTTCTGCAGAAACAAGCAGCAATTGAGGTGAAAGAAGGCAGCACTAGAAACATAGCTTCATTGGCATTTTGAATATGACAGAGTCTATTGACTCTAGAATGAAAGAAGCTATGCTTTGGCAGTTAAAAGATGTGGAAATCTCACTTTGTAATATGAGAGGTCAAGGTGAAAACAATGGGGAAAATATGAAAAGCAAAGGCAGCAGCATTCAGAAGAGAATTCAGGACTTGAAAAAGCATTCTTTGTCCCATGCAATGCACATCCTTTGCAACTTGTTCTCAATGATCATCGCACTGAATGACTGCACTGAAGCCGTGATTTCTTCATAGTTCAAAGGGTTTATCCTTTTTTGTGAGCTCAGTGCTCAGCTATATCACACCAGTATATGAGAAGCCTGTTCCCTAAACCCGCACATAATGATTGGAAAGACAAAGTGGTGCAAGCAGAGTATATTAACAACTATCAGAAGTCTGTGATCCTTTTGTTTTAATTGCCAGTGACTCAAAGCCAAAAGGACTTGGGGGGGAACCAAATCTTGAAGTGATGCCAAACTGCTGGCTTTCAAAACCTGCAACAATAAATTCTTGTGCATTGTGGTTCTTTGGCATGATATCCTTTATGAAATCAACTTCGTAAGTAAAATGCTTCAAGAAGCAAAAGTGCATATTAAACAAACGGCACATCATCTAAAAGCCAGGATATATTCCATTGTAAACTACCAGTCTGATTCACAAGCGTCCCGACAGATGCTAAGGAACTGATAAGGGAGAGCTGATAAGGGAGAACTCCAAGTCAGATTCCTGCAAGAAACACAATTTAAGGAATGAACCAAAAAACAGAAGGTTTGATTATGAGGCCAGACATAAACTGGCCAGAAAAGAACTATAAAGTCATTTTTTTCCCATTAGGCTTTGAATTTTACCATACTTGAATACAACTTTTTCAAACGTAAGAAGAGTCATAAACTATTTAGCTTTTTTTAATTATGCCTCTGAAACTTCATAGTTTTTCCTGCCAAGAATTACAGCAATAATGCATCATGTTAAGCAAACCATTAGAAGATGCCAACAGTCTGGTGAAGAGACGTCTCTGACACAAATCCCCTGGGTCTCTACAACTAACCAAGTTCTCAGCAGGCAACTCTAACCTGAAACCTACCCAAAAGGTGCACTAGAATTTCTGTGCAAAAATACATTTTTACCCTTGTTTCCAAATGTATCCATCACACTCAAGAGTCTATTAACGTCAATTTTATGCGTTGCAAGTAGAGAACATGTTTTTTCAAAGCTTAAATTTGGGAAGACATTTACATCAAATGATGGCACAGTCCTCATTGCTGGGGTCTTGCTTTAATTTCAAAAAAGCCTAACCACAGAGAATATTAATCTCAAAGGTGCCACACAATTTCATGTGTATTAAAGCAAAGAAAAGCAACTTTCACTAAAGATGCTGGCTGCTACTGCCAAATCTTTGAGGGAAAAAAAGACTTTAAAGGATTGATTGTGTATTTGATTGTCAGGTTCTTCACTTTGTTTCTTACTTACATTATCATCAATAGGCAAGTGTGATGAATCTCTCACTATTTTAATGGGAAGTTAGGATGTTAACAGGGATGGCTGAGAAAAAGTATTGCTGCCTGCTCTAGAAAACAGACTAAAGCTAGAAGAAACTCAGTTGTTTTTCTCAACACAAACTAAGAATATTAGAAAGACTCCAAGTTCCAAAAATACCTTTCTTATATATTGCTCTGAGTCTACCACTCAGAGCAGCCTCTTTTGCTTGTAACAATGAAAGGCAAGTCCAAACTAAGAAGCCCACATGAGAATCCAAACTTACAGTTTGAGGCTGTTTCTGGTGCTCATCCACCGCTACTACCAACATTATGTGACAGACCTACTACCTATGCACTAAATACCCTTCTGTAACTTCCCATTGGTAATCAACTGATTCTGACACCAGATAAAGTACTCAGTACCAAATGCTGTGCGAGCAAGGATCCTGTCCCAAGGAAGCACCTATTTCCTGCACTCAGGATTTGTCCTGAAAAGGTCTCATCCATTTTCTCTTTCATGGTCAAGTTCCTACAACCAGGCCAAACAGGGGAGGAAAAGCTGGCCTTTATTTGCTGTGGCAGGCTTTTTCCAGGGAGCAGTATCAAAGCTGTACCATCACTGCCCCTAGTATTCACCTGCATGCAGGAGGAAGGAGGAACGGAAGGCCATATAAGCTCCTATCTCAAGCCCTGTGCTGGGGTATCTGTAGTGTCCTTGTAGCAGTGGGCTAATTCTATTGCCAAGCTTCACAAACGTGTGTAGGTGTGCATTGAACTCAAAGGGAAAGACACCAGTGCAGAAGATAAACTAGTCTCAGAGGTTGTTGTTCTGGCCATCCTCTTCTTTTGTGTCTTTGGTTTGTGCCAGCATTAGACTCTCCTGGATTTCATTATGGTGATGTCTCATCCTTGCAAAAAAGAAGAAAACATTCAAACTTAAGTGACAAAGCCAACATGATGCAACAGTTTAATATTCGCTTCACTGCTATTTTGGTGGGTACTGGCTATCATATTCGCAAGCCTGATTTCAGCAGGTTTCTCTTCTAGTGAGTTCTATAGTCTTGCTTATATCTTAGTGTAACCGGCATGGTCACTAGAGACATTAACACACTTCCCCATCCCCTTTCAAAGTCACTTCTACAATTTACTCTCCCCTTTGCAAGGGGGTTCTGAAGTCAGCCTCATTTAACAAGGACTATTAATTACTCCCGAAACAAGGCTCTGCATCAGGAGGATCCTTACAACTTTTGGCTGCTGGGTGAAATTCAGAGAGTTTCTGCTCTGCAGTACTTACTTTTCTCTGTTGAAAACAATGAAGTCTCTTTGGAGTATCTCTAGGTGCTTCTGAAGATGGCAGGCCTTCCAAATTCAGGGGGAGGAGAAGAGAGAGACAGGTGAAGGGACAGTTAAAGTTCACAATTGACACAGGAAACTATTACAATGCCACACTCATGAGGCATAAATGTGTTTGCATCTCAATTTACAAGAATGTTAATGAAAATTTAATTAATTATATTTCTGTATAGCTATAGATACACACATAGGCACCCACACTTCTACAGTGTCTGGCTGTTGCAGGAGATATCAAATCTAAGGTTATAGAACAATTTGCTTTCCTGTAGTGCTCTGAATCATAGGATATGCCCCTATCAGTCTTAGTGCTAGACAGGACTACATGCCGCACCAGCATGAAAGCTAACATTACAGCAATTCAAGTGTTATTTTACTTGTCTGAACTCAGTATGAGAAATAACTTGAGCAAAGACTGTTCATGGTAACTGTATGCTGAAGACACCCACAGACCCATACAGAACATACAGAGCCACCTCTTCACCCGCGACTGAAATTCACTCCATTCACATTAGGGAGGAAAATAATATTAACCAGCACAAGAAATGCACAACTTTGAGCAGGAAGTGAGAAATGAATATTTCAACCATTAATACCACAGGAGACATTTTAAGTTGGCAAAATACTAAATTCTCGGCTGAAATTTCACCAAGACAGTTGGGCTTCTAAGTATACTTGTAAGAAATTGCCTTTGGAATATAGCTTGTCTGAAACAGTCTGTCTCTTCGTTCATTAGATAAGAAAAGGAAGAGAAAAGAGTTGGCTTGTAGTCACAACACAGAACTGGGAGGCAGGAAGCTAGGGGTTATTGTTAGTATTATTTGATCACAGTGGGCGCATCTACACATGCAATTAATATGACTGAATGTAGTCTGGCTCAGTTTGAGCCGGAGTAAACTAATCGCAACATCACCAACTATGCCTGTTTTTAAGTGCAGTAATTTACTACGCTGACAGATACCAATTGTATCTGATGGGACTATCTGGCAGCACAGTAAATTAATCTACTGCACTTTAATTGCCATGCACATGTAGACAGTGATGCTTTACTGTGCAGCAAATTAATCTGTTGCACAGTAAAGTGTCTCATGTAGACGGGCCCAGTGTGTTTCACAGCCTGTAGAACCTACAGACAGATCCCTACCCTGCTTTGCAGAGTAAAGTGCTTTGAAAGGCAAAGTATTATAAACAAACCCCAAGTTGGATTTCCTCATGCCATGGTCAGGCAGGTCAAACATACCAAGATCTGGACCAAGCATCTGCCTCATTTACTGAGTTCATTGAAGTTGGAAACAATTTCAAGGTGAGCAAAGCTTAGGCTAGGATCAGTTTTGCACAATCACCATCTACCAGCAACCATGTGTTCACAGACCAAGAACAACAAAGAGCAAATCGCACATTTATCAAAACCCTAATCCTGGTCAGACAGATTGGCTCTCAGAGCTCTGAAGTTCGGCTAGTTCATTTATCTCAGAGGTAGTATTCCACTGGGCTGCCAGCAACCACTTGCATGCCAGTCACCTGTGCATGATGAAATGCAAAGTGACGGATCCCTTCTTTGAACCATTTGTACGAGCCAGGCATTGACAGCAGTTCTTAAAGAGGCACTGCTCTAGCACCATTTAGCTGTCACTGTGCAATGCTCCCCAAAGCCACGAGTCAACACGCTTCGCTCTTCTATGACAGGCTCCAGCTTTGCAAATAGCAGCCCACAGAATTCATAGCCATCCATATCATGTTTAATGCCATCTGAGTATCCTACTCAACTGTTGCTTCTTTACACATCTGTGTTCCTTGGAGCTATCATTCTCTCATACAAGAGGCAGTGAAGAGAACATTTCAGATGCTAGGCTCTATTACTACCTGCTTAGAAAGCCCTTAATCATGAAGGTTTCCCTCAATGAAGTCTAGTGTCAGTAAACACCTGTCTGACATGCACAATGACACCTAGAGAAGCAGACACAAAAAATAATTCATAACCAATAGCTACAGTTCTAAATACATTACACATATGTGCAGTACACACATGTGAAAGTACACACGTGAACAAACACAGACTCAAGCATTTCAAGTACTATAAACTGATTTTTCGTAAGGATGCTTAAAGAGCACAGGACGGCTTTCTAAACAGGACGCTCCTTGTCAATCATAAGAGTCTCCCCATCAAAAAATAATAGGATCTGATAAGATACCATAGACTCCTCCACCTCATCCCCCCTGCAAACCTCTGGGGTGTTACAAAATCAGGTCTATAGTGGTGAACATTTAAGAATGGGATCTTTACCGTTAAGGGATACAAAGCAGGTACAGGAGTTGGAGTGAGGAAAGAAAGAGAGGCCTTTCAAAATGAATATGAGGTAAGCAAGTAACGTAAAGAAAGAACAGGTAGTAGACAATCAACAAACAAGACGGAGCATGCTAGAAGTGGGAAAAGTGTCAAGTGAAGACCAAAGCAGGATTCAGAATCAAATCTAGAGAGTAGTTTTTAACGATGGGGAAATCAGAGCAACCAGCCTCCTTAGAACACTGTGTTTCTTTTCCTGAATACATTTTCCTTTACACAACAACTTTCACAGGCCCTAATGCTTGCACAAAACCATATCCAGGAGCCGTCCTGGTTCTGCTGACAGGACTCAGTCTGCTGGCAACACCTGCTCCGCACAGCTGACTTGCAATGGGCAGGGCAGGCTGTTTTTCTGAGCCTGTTGCCACTGGTACAGATGGAACAGAATCAATTTTGGTCCTGAAAGAGCTGTTAACTTAGGCTATGATAAAATATTTAAGATGTTCAAATGCAGCTGACCTTTAAATAACTTAATATAAAAGAGACACCATACTGTCTATTTAATTAGAAGGATGAGAGAGACTTTAGCTTTAACAAAACCCAAAAGGCTCTCTGTGCTCTAGAAAGGAAATTAGTGGGGCCAGGATTTTGCCCTAGGACTTTGTTAAGACTCCTTCCAATCACCGCTAGCTAACATGCTTTAAACACAACCTTTTTCTTAGTTTAGATGTGCAGCACATGGGCCATTTATACGCAAGCTTTGGGAGTAGGGGCTAGGGGGGTACTTTAATTGGAGCCGCTCTAATTAAACCACCTGAAGCGTCACATGTATCAGCATCCTCATGCTGAAAAATGGCAGTGGGGGGTGCTTTAACTAACTTTTGTGCAAAAACCTTGTCTTTCTTGCTCTCACCTGTGAAGAACTGCATTTACTGGTGTCTTTCTCCTTCTTAGCCAAACGTTTCTTTTTTTTATGGAGAGGTTTGGACTCCAGGATCATTTCTTCAAGTTCGAAGGTTGGGTCACAATTCAGTCTCCCTTTCTATAGGGAAAAGAAAGGACACTTGAGCTGAACTCAGCCTACCTCTTACCAATAGGACAGTGCTTTGGAATTGAACTCTGTCGTGAGTAAACCAATTACAATGACAGCAAGAGCTCCTGCTGCACCTTTTACATATTTTATCAGCTCCCTCAGTGAGGAGGACGTTGCCAAGGTACATTTCACATTATTCTAAAAATCTTTTTCTCTTTCGCTGCCTGTTGTTTATACTTGCCCGTTGGATGCTTCAAAGTGAAATCCAGAGTAGTCCTTTGGTTATTTATGATTTCTTCCCTTGCACACATGCAGGATCTGTTATGACAAATCATTTGCCAGGCACAAACTACTATTCTAAAGCAGCCGGTAACCACAAGGTTTCATGCTTTACTATTATAGTAGGGATGTTTGTGAGCCTGGGATGACGTGCATCTCTTTTCATTGTAAAATGGGTCATGATCATGGTTGGTCACTTGAGTTGTTTGCTGCTGGAGTGCTCATGAGCAGTGGGTACACATGCTAGAGCACTATACCTTAGACAATATTTCACATAAGATCAACAGAACATTTGTCTGGACTTCCAAAATGTCATAATTTTCCATTAAATAGCCCTGATCATATTATACAGGACATTTTGCATTGCCTTTCCCCTTTAGTTTTAAGTGCATTCTTGTTTTAAGTGTGTGTCACATGTTGCTGTTCTGATTGGGTACAAAGGAGTGAAGGATCATGGGTAATTTGTAGACCGGTGTCCTGGTTGTAAGAGCACTCTAAAGCGTTTTTAAATAAAATTGCCTTACAGTGGGAATGAATCCTGGTAATATCCTCTTCTGTTGAACTGCATCCCAGTTCACATCAGCCAGATATGGAAAGTCTTGGATATCTTTCAGCCGAGAAAAACGTTTCTCAGGATTTGGCTCAAGCAACTGGCAATGAAAATTTAAAGAGAAAGAGACAGCACTTAGCTACAGAGCCAGGGGAAGACAATCTAAATAGATAGTCTGTAGACATGCATTTGTTGCAAATGTTGATGTAAAAAAGGCTACAAGACACAGACATAATAATAAGATTTGTGAAATTTTATCTGTCTACTTAATATAGCAGATGCCTTAAAATGTACTAGTTATGCCTTTGATAATTAGGTGGTGTTCCTTTTATATACCCTCTTCCCTTTATTCAGTGAATTCCTATGGGAACTTTCAAATACTCTGATAAAACCACAGTCACAAAAGGCAAGTGAAAAGTTTTAAAGGGCGCTCATGTGTATTGGCTCACAAGGGTTGACTGGAGGCCGTGTGATTTTTCAGCATGTAGTTTACTAGAATAGAATTTGGGCTAGATTGCAATAGTGACTGCAACCCAGAGCTGAGTACAATAGATGAAGAGAAACAGAAGTGGGTGGAGTCACGGGTCTTCGCTCTTCAGTATGCCGGTCAGCCCGGCTGAGTTCATGTGGATTGTTGTAATCTGCTACTAAACGGTAGCACATCACCATATTCATTCCCAGAGCAAAAGGGAAGCGGGTGAGCAGGATTCAGGAATCACCTTCTGACTTGCAATGTATCTTGGGGCTACTCCTGATTTTCTGAAATGTATGCACTGGTTCTCTTGATGAGGCCATACCTAAATGATCCATTCCAGCCCTTTCACCTCAATCCTTTTCATTCTGCTTCACCTTTTCTCAGTTAAGACTCCATTCTTCAGGGTGGTCCTCATTGGCTTTGATACCTGGATGAACCAACCTAACCTTAACCCTCCTGCTGGGAGGATGGTGCAAGGGTTGTGCAATCTTGCTGTTACCCTTGGTGGCTGGCCACCCTCCTAAACTGTTAGGAACAGTCCTCCTTGTCAGAGAAATATACCAGCACCATAACCACAGGACTGGGTTCAGCAGCCTGGTGTCAGAAATTAATGTACATTTGCTTGGGTTCCTTTTTTTCGTATTGTCAAAGGCTGAGTGGTTTTAACCTGTGCTGTCCTAATGCTTACAGCACAGAGACCTCAACCCATTCACTGGTCCTATACATCACACAGGCCAGTGTCTGGCAAACAGACTCCAAATCAGAGCCAAGATAACCTCATCACTAATGACTTCTTCCACTGGGATGCTTACTTGGCTGCAAACAAGGAAGACTTTCCTTTTAGTAATGATCCAGTGAGGTCTTTCTTATTAGCAAGTGGAGCTGAGTATCTAGCTGAATGTCACCATTTGTCCTTGAGTGAGAACAAATCATGTGAAAGGTTTTGTTTTAATAGGTCCTTTTCTCTCACAAGGAAACTTTGTAAAATCTGTTCCATTTTTCCAGCAGTATTTTTTCCTCCAGTCATCCAGTTTTAATACAATTCAAATTGGACCAGAATCATATTCACTTCTTTGGAGTCTGCACCAGAATTTCCCCCCTAATATTTCAAAGAACAAGTCTGGGGATGCTTTCTATAGTTTGTTGCTAGAGAGTTTGTTTGCATTAAATAAATCAAATCAACTGTATACCACAAAAAGATATATTTTTAAACAGATATTTCAACATAGGATATGAAACCAAGTTAATAAGAAAAGGGATTGTTTAGTGCTGGAGCAAGGGGGTATAATTAGAACTGAAATGCTTCCTGAAATGTGGAGAAAGATACCAAGACAACTTTCCAATTGTGACATTTATTAGACTGTAGCACCGTTTCCCAAGACCAGTGGTAGAATATACACTGGCTAGAGCTCTGAGCAATACAGATAGTGAACAATCCCACACAAGTAGGTAAGCAGTGGGCTGGCTAATATTTCTGTTCCTTCAAACTAAGTTACCTAAATTGCTCCATTACCACATACATGAGGAGCTCATAATCCTCAGCATATTTATATTCACAACATTTGTGTGAAGGAAGAAAGTGTTATAATCCACTTTTAGAATGGGGAACTAAGGCAGTCAGGGTGGCAAAAACTGACTTGCCTGAGGTCAGAAAAGGAATCTGTAACAGAGCAGAGAATTAAATTCATCTTCCAATCCCCAGTATAATATCCTGTTCACTGGACCATTCTTCCTTTCTAACTTCAGTGATTTTATGGAACCATAGAAATGGTGCTATTTGATTCCAGGTTTATTTTTTTTTAATTAGGGATTTTTCATCTGAAACATGATAGAATACAATGATTGAATTCTGAGTTTTAATTTTGATAGTTCTGTATTGAAGAAACCTCTAGCAGCCTATTCTTAAAGGGAAAAAAAGAGAAGAAAATCCATAAAAACCACCCTCAAATTTAATAAACAAACTAACAACTTTAAATACCTGCTCAGTGTTAGTGCTTGCAACCAGGGTGTGAATGGTATTACCCTAAGGTGCAAAGGCAATGTAGTCAGAGTAACAATGATATGCAAGTTGAGTGTTAACACCATTCACTCTTTATTTTCCTCATAAAAGCTTGATATCTGAGCCCAAACGTGAGTGGAGTAGGTCTGTTTTGAATGATTGAATACATTAAACACTAATGGAAAAAGTCATTGGAGATATTTGAATCAGGACAAAACTTAACATCCCAGTTGGTCTCATATATAATACATATGGCTGTTAAACCAGATGCAAAGGGCACATGGACATTTAAATAAGCATGACATTGCATTAGTCATTTATGAGGCAGCCTATAGGATTTACAAGCATGTCATGGTTCAGATAAAACTTTCAGCAAAAATAAAAATACATACAAAATAAAGGACACCTGCAACAAATATCCTTATATTACTGTTTCAAGGTCAAATTCCAGCCCAATGCTAACTACTCCTGTCACCTAAATTTTCCATTTCATTCTAATTAAGCAGTAAATGTCTTACATCTGCTGTGGTGGTTTGCAGTACAGATTTTCTGCCCATTTCCTACAGCACAAGTGAATGTGTTTCAGTGATGGAAAGACATACTATACACTGTTCAGAGCCTTTAGAAAAAAAAGGTGTGATAAAAACATAAGGTATTTTTTCAGCCATATCTAGTCAAAAACCAAGGAAAGTTTCTTAAAAGGTTTCAGTATGTGACCCATTATCCACAATCTTCTTCAGTCCCTGCTTTTAGTCTAATGATTTCCATAACAAAATGATGTTTGTGCTTGCTGCAAATCCAGTTTCAGTAAAAACCTTGCTTTGGATCACAGTTATGATCATCAAAAATGATGATGATTTTGAAAATTATTTTCCTCAAAATTCAATAAAATTGTTGCAGAAAGTTATCAAACATTTCATGGAAAAAAATGGAACATTTTGACAGAGTCAGTATTTTGGAGAGGTGGGTATTCGTTTTGGAAAAAAATAATGGTCCGTTTCATTGTCATTGATACCTATAGCCTATAGGTACGGAACAATGACAATGGAAGTGACCATTTCATTGTTATTGATATTCATAGGTATCAATGTATCAATAACAATGAAACAGATCATTATTTCAGAGATTCAATAAAAGTTAAAATGACACTTCCAAAGATTAATTCTTCATGTCTCCTTAGAGCAGCCACAACATTAGCAACTGTGTGTACCAGTCCAAGCTCTTCTACCACTGGGCTATCAAGTACCTGACCTTGAGGTGACTTTCCCAGCTGTTTTATATTAATGTAGATGCCTTCCCACTAAAAACTGGATTTTCATCATTTTAGATATGGCACCATGAGTCACGAAAAGGTTGTTAGCATTGGATGTGGACAGTAGGCTTGCACGAAGCAGAAAGTATTCGCTTTAGATTCAGAGGGACAGTGATTCGATTCAGTGATTTGAATCACTGTCCCGATTTGATTTGGCCAAATCCGAATCTGAAGATATTTGGTACCAAATCTTATTCAGCCATAGACTATACAGGTAGGCAGTGCCGGTGGGAGCAGCTCGGGGAGCAGCCAGATGAGCCCAGGCTCAAGCTGGCAGGCCAGGGAGAAACTCCTCATCTGGCTGCTTCCTCAGCTGCTCCTGCCGGCACTCCCTAGTACCTGTCTGTACTGTCTATGGCCAAAAATCTCCAAATCAATTCGGAGGCTTTGGATTCAATTTGGAGAGATTAATGGGCCTCCTGATTTGATTCAGCCACCAAATCAAGCTGAATCTCCTCCAACTCGAATCGGATACCGAAGCTTTGCACAGCCCTAGTGGGCAGAATCTGCAGTGGTCACATATGGCTCAGTTCAAAGGAGACTGATCCCAGTGGGAAGACTCTATTGGCTTCAGTGGATTTTGGTTCAGGCTCCTGGACATGGCATCTACTGAGTTGCCCTCCTCCCAGTTTGCTCTCACCTGCTTTAGTAGGCCCACCATTTCTTTAGACCAAGCAGCAGGATACATGACTGTTGCTGTCTTGAACACATGCGCAATATCCATTGTTGATGTGTTGGAGCGAATATGATATGGTCTCTGAAAACACAAGCAAATCATTCTCATTATTTAAAAAACAAAACAAAACCGCTATTGGAAATCTTTGCAGGGCAAGAAGTCTCCAAACAGAGTTTCTTTATACATTCTCTCAGCCCCCCGTTGCTGCTCTAGATTGAACCATTGAAAATCTGTCACTGCGGAGACTAACTAGACAGAAGTGAATAGTTACTACAAACTGAATAATGATAATAATGGCAACAACAACAATAGGAAAGATGAGCAGCAAGATGAATAGGAAGGAAAAGCAAAGGGTAGAGTTGTTACCAATCTGTTTTCCCCTGGCTCAGCTAATATTTATACCCTAGAAGGCCATTAAAAGGGAACTAATTTAGTAGCAGTGTAAGGGCCAGTATTTATTCCTCATTCTCTGTACACTTTAAATAGTGCTTTTCTGTTAATTTCTTATGTTTGATATGGGACTGTCAGAACAGAAGCTAGTGGGTTTTCTTCCCCCTTTGACTTTCCTTGGAAAAGGTGACAACTCCAGTAAAACGAGAAAAAAGACAGTACGAGAAAAGACAGTATGTTCAACCTCCCTAGAGAAAGGTAGTTGAACAGAGTATGTCTGCATGACACAAAGCAATGTCACCCAGAAATACTGGAGCTAGCCCTGAACCAGCTAGGTCCAGTACCAGAAGCAGGATAGCAATATAGTAATGCAGCAGTCTTGTTCAGACTAATACGCAACATGGCTGTGAAGTCCTGCAAAGTGACTCCTAGGCTGCAACGTAACTCCTCCTTCCTGTATGGCAGTTGTCCTAAAGGCAGGAATAAATAGGCTCTTCATTTTCTTTCAGCTATCAGTCTGAATTGTGTACATTAAGATGCACATGCAAGGTGGGAAGGATGGCTTGATATTCAACAGCTTTGATGTAACGTGGCATTTGGAGAGGTCTAGGTCTAATCTTCCATCTGTGCAAGCTGAGCTTGCAAAGCACAAGCCAGTTACAACTCATGCAAGTGGACACTGCTCACTTATTTAGTTGATGCATGCAGCCCCATGAATCTTATAATTCAACTTGACAGTAGCAAGTAGCGAGCATGAAAAGGCAAGATTGCTGTAATATTCCATTTCAGCAGATGGCTTGTAATACAGCTGTGCAAAACAGCACCGTTTCGTTTCGTTTCAACTTCCATTTCACCATTTCAAAGGGACAGTGTTTTGTTTCATCATTTCACTTTGAAACCACCGTTCTGTTTCATTTCATCGAAACAGTTTCAACGTTTCACCCGTAGGCTATAATGGGGAATCATGAAAATGCATAAAACTTTGTCATTTCTTGCCTGATTCAGATGAAAATTGCAAGGATGGTATCCCTTTCTGAGGGCATGAAGCCTCCCATGTTTCAAAGAGATAGGTGCAGAGGTTTCTGGGAAACTGCACCTCAAACTGTTCAAAACAAAACTCAGGACAGTTGCCGGCAGCGGCAGCCTCCTCTCCTCCGCACTCCCAGGAGGGCTGCTGGGCTGTGCTGGACTCCTCCCAGGGGTGCGGGATCTGAGAATGGGATGAGAGGAGGCTGCCACTGCCGCCTGGAACCGTCACTGGTGCATCCTGAGCCCAGTGCCGAGAAGATTGCTGCCCCAGGCAGCAGCGGCAGCCTCCTCTCATCCAGCGCACAAATCAGGGCCCACACCCCCAGGAGGGCTGCAGGGCTATGCCAGACTCACTCAGTTGTGCCGGACCAGGTGGCAGCGGCATCCTCCTGTCATCTGGCACACAGATCCGGGGGCCCACACCCCCAGGGGGAGTCCGGCACAGCCCCACAGCCCTCCCAAGGGTGCTGGCCCCTGGATCTGTGCACCAGATGACAGGAGGCTGCTGCTGCCACCTGGTACCAGCGCTGAAGCCACCACCTGGTACCAGCGCTGAAGCCAAGTAAGCTGGGCTTCTCAACTCAAAGCATTTCAAAACTTACAAAACATTTTGAGTGCCCTCATTTCATTGCAAAGCTGTTTCAAAGCCTTTTGTTTTGTTCCAATTTTGCTGTTTTGAGCTCGAAACATGTTGAAACAGCTTCGAAATGAAACACCCAGCAAAATTTGGCACAGCCCTAGTTTGTAAGTCCCAGATTTTTACAATTTTTCAACACTAAGAGGCTGTTTAAGAAAATATGTGAGCACAGACACACCACAGTGTATTACGCTGACTACCTGCCAAGAGGTGAAAAGCAAAACTTCCTTTAAATTTATTACACGTCATAGTTACCACTAGCAGTATTTTGCTGTGCCATGATATATGGGTATACTGCAGTATTTCCTATACCTAAGCTTGGAAATAGCATAGTGAAATCAAAAGCTGTGGAACAGCAAATGACAGTAATAGTAAATAATAGCAATGCAATCTGTTTTATTTTCTAACAATAAAATAGGCATATATACTTTAAGATAGAAGTTAGATTTACAAAAGCACCTGGATGCACAGCTTCACAAAGGGTGCCTAGCACTTCCAACAATATTTTAATATGCACCAAGTTGGTCAACCAAAACTTTGTGATTCTTAAGATCACTTGAAAAAATTGTTATCTATATGTGTGGATTAAAATACTTTCTCTCGCACAAGGGTTCTGTGAGGAATGAGTAATTAAAGCATATGCAGGGCATGTCTACACAGGACACTTAATGCACAATAGCCTAATAATACCGTGCAGTAGCGTGCCAGGCAAAAACCGGGCTAATATGCTACTGCACAGTAGTATTAGGCTATTGCGCAGTAAATGTCACTTAAAAAACCATGCATTGGTGCTACTGCGCAGTAACTGTAGTTACCATGCATTTAGTTAGTACTTGATTAAGCAAGTACTTAATTAAATGCGCAGTAACTATTCTGCATTAACAAACATGTAGACATACCCACAGTTACCCAAAAAGTGATATCTACTATAAATCTTATTGGTTTAAAAAAATTAATCTCACAAGTTAATCCTTTTGCTTGGAAGAATGGTGTTTATTTTAATTCACTTTTGTCCACCCATTTTATAAACCTTTTAAAAGGAGCTATCCAAGAATCAATCCAAGAAGCACTAAATTTTGCAACTGAATTAGTGTCAAAGTATTAGACATGACATGGCATGAATTGTGTTTTATTAATAATTCACACACAGTAGTTTAGCTTTGCTCAACCTACACGGTCTTATTACAATGGGGAAATGATTTTTAAATCTTTTTCTTTGCATGTTCTGAGCTCAGAGTAAATTATATTACAATCCCTGGTTTAGGAATTCTTACTCATCAATTAGATGGCTCAGTTTCCAGTGCCCAACTATATTAACTGACAGGTCCTCAGACATGCTGAGAACCTGTCGTGGTGAATTACTCTGTGCTGCAATAGTTTCTTTCCAAAATCATATGGGTCTGTCATCAGAACCTGGATGGATGTTTGATTTCTGCTGCCTGCATTATTATAATAAACTTTTAAGTTTAGAATGCCACTGAGTTCTTCCATCCCTGTTATAAAGCATGTACTCTTTCACCATGGCATTGTTAGACAGAGACAAAGAACGTGAATACAGCTGTACTGCACCGACCCGGCCTCTAAGTAGTTCATAGGCAGTAACTCCTAATGACCACCAGTCCACAGCAAAGGTGTAGCCGATAGATTTTGTTGAGTTAAACATCTCAGGTGCTGTAAAATACAGAGAAATAGTTTATTTCAGTCTCACAGGGAAATTACTGTTTTCAGAAGTCTATAAAGCTTTCATCCTAGGAATGAAAGACGTAATCTAACGACTACTACATCACTCCAATGCTACCATTCCAGTCAAATGCATTTAATATATATTTAATTTGTTCCTTCCCCCTTGCTTTGTCTTTCTCTTAATTATTCCTGGGGTTTTTTAACAAGATGATAGTAACAAGCTGGCTAAGCTTCCCATCACCCACATACTGCTGAGAGGGATGGAGAATCAGAACTTCTCCATTATCTTCTCAGATCTACCACTGATTTGCTTACTGACCCTTGAGAAACCTGCCTCAGTTTCATTCTCTGAACAAGGGACAGTAACATTTAACTGCTGTGAAACAGGGACAGGGGGCTAAGGAAAGTGCTCATGTGCAAAATGTTTTGAGATCATAAAGTATGTAAGGCCCCTGCTACACATTACATATGTTACACAATTAACTGGCTAACCATGCAATAAATTTAAACAAGCCACACCTCCAAAGTAATTATCACACAATAAAAAGAGCCAACCAGCTATGAAGCTGGTGATTGAAAACATGCAACAACTCTATAGATAGAACAAAGAGCAATGGTCTCAAGTTGCAGCAAGGGAAGTTTAGGTTGGATATTGGGAAAAACTTTCTCACTAGGAGGGTGGTGAAGCACTGGAACGTGTTAGCTAGAAAGGTGGTGGAATCTCCATCCTTGTAGGTTTTTATATCCCAGCTTGACAAAGCCCTGGCTCAAAAGATCTAGTCAGTGATAGTCCTGCTGTGAGCAGGGGGTTGAACTAGATGACACCCTGAGGTCCTTTCCAAACCTCATTTTCTATGATTCCGTAGCTGGTGTCTATCCAGCTTTAATGCAAATGTGTAGCAGGGCCCATTGCTAATGCTTGTAATTAAACAGGGGTTATTACTTGATACTAATTCCCATCAGTCACTAAAACGCTGCTTTTCAGTATGGACCCAGCATCTGACAAGGATCATAGCAAGTCAGTGGGACAAATATTTTCATGGGCACCAAGGATTGAGCACAGATTAATATTTGGGTCCTGCAGTCTCAGGAGAGCAGTGGTTATAATTAGGATCAGTGTGAAGCCTCCTCTGTTGAGCTGAGCTCTCAGATATGTCAGGCTTTGCTTTTCCTATCTTTTAAATGAGACAATTCATAGCTTCATTTCATTAAAAGCTTGGTATGAGACTTAATTCATAACTGTATGTAGAGTCTCGAATGAAAAGCATACTGTAGGAACAGGGACCATTACATAAATGCCCAGTGCATAAAAACAGTTCATTAAAAGTTACCAAGTAGTTTCTGCCTTTCCTAAAAATATGAAGAACATTGAAATGCATTGGCTTGAACTAATTTCCTGTATTACATAAGGCTGATCACAAGATCAAAGGTCCTCCTGAGCTTAGCAGCCCAGAGGATTAGCATTTAGGAGCTGACACATTTAAAGTTATTTGGCAAAGTAATTGTTAGGTTAGGGATGGCAAAGTAATTAGCATGGTTAGGGATGGCATTTTCTATAGACAATGGCACACAAGACAGTGATGTGGCTATAACACCATATCAAGTAACCAGGTACCTGCTTGCAGCTGGGTAGATGGGACCCACACCTCTGCAGACACCATGAACACCCTGTCAACACACCCCATGTTCCCAGAACGGGGGTTGAGAAGTCGCTCTTTTTTATGTTCTTACACACCCCGCAACTCATACTGTCATAGCTGAGCTCCCCATGATCTTTAAGATATTTTCCTCAGAATAATATCTGAAGTGGGCCAGTGATGTTATCCTCCTCACAGGTGGAGAACCGACAAACTAAGCAACTAAATAATTTGCCCCAGGTGACATATGGTCCCTGAGCACAGAACTGAAACCTGGTCTACTGAACCATTTTATCCCTTAGGAAACTTCCCCATTCTCAAAACTAAGGTGGATTTGGGTGGTTTAAGTGGGTTGATTTCCCCCCCTCACACCATTTTCCCATTATCTATATTTAAAACTCCTTTAAGTGTGAGGATACCTAAAAGAAACCCAAGCCTCAGAAAGGAAATCCTGTGAGGCATAAGCACAGATGGGATTCTGGCTGTTTCCTGGAAGCAGGAAGTGACTTGATGTGAGCACTAATGTGATAGCCATCCCTTCACTGGGGCAGGTTGCCAGGCAAAGACAAGCTGATCTTCAGCTAAGATTGCTGTGAAGATTAAGGAAAAAAGCCAGTGACCTCATGGGGGGTAGTGGGAGATGACTGTCATTAATGAAGGGGGGTGGGAAGCTGAAGGTGGGACCAGTTGTTTCTATAGTTTTCTTTTTAAACTATAGGGTTGAATCAGGTAAAAAACAAACCAGCTGTGTTACTCTGACAAAAAATAAGATTCCCAATGAAGGCGGATATAATTGTGAAATAGCATCTGTAGGAGAAACCCTGGTTAATCACCAGTTCATGCAGCTTTATAAAACCACACTACTATATATAAAGCTTTGTTCCTTGTGCTGTCCACACTGAAATGCTCTGAATGCTTTCATCCTGCCTGTTCCTGTTAGCCAGATTTATGGTCTATTGTATAGTTGAACCCAGCACTTTTTTCTATCATTAAATTAGGAACCTCTCATTTTTCTCAACTTCAGTGTTGGGAATCTTCCTCTCTGATCCATTCCCTCTGCGCTCCTGATCTGATTTTTTTATTGCTTGCACAGGTTTTACCTTGCTGTAGCTCCACTGCCTTTGCCAGTGAGGGAGACAAGATGGGCTTCTTTTTTTCCCTGTGCATAACTAGTTATTGTAATGATTTGACTATTAAGGGAGCATAACTAACAGTTTTCTGCATTAGTGTCAAGAGAAAAAAGAGGAAACAAAATCAATAGATGGACCATATCCAGCACCGAGAGCAGCAGGCAAGCAAGCTCTGTTTGAAAAGGACTGTGCATTTTTCTCCGTACATACAAATGCAGCAATGCGCCCACGTGAGGGCAAAGGAGCTTCAGAGGTAACAGAGGTTGCCCTTGTACTAAGAGCTGGACTATCCTTCCACACTGAGAAAATACATACAATGGTCTCTGTGTCACTGGGGTGAGGCAAAGCATTTCAAAGCCAAAAAGTTAGTCATTTTGGAAACAGCATTCAGAGGAAGCAAGAAACAGCATTTGTGCTCCAAAGTTGGTTTAGCGGCATCCTGTATCCCAATCAGTAGCAAGATTTATTTCCGCCTCTCCTACCATTTAAATACTGAGTCTGGCTTGACTTCACCGAGTCTGGCTTGACCACAGTGTCCTCCCCTCCAGTGAGACCAGGGCTGTTTTCACTATTACTGTATCAATGTCACACTCATCCAGGGCATGAGGAACACAACTCTGATCCTTCAACTTCAAAAACACAGGGCTCTGCTTGAACCGAAGAAGCTCCTATAGTTGGGGGGTAGCAGCTCATCCATTCTCTTTTTTGTGTCTTTACCACAACGGGCACCAGCCCATTGGTGGCATTACCTTGTAGGACACATTTACACAACAACTGGATTTTTCTTGAACCAATAAAAGAAGAAATAAAGGTTGTCCCTTTCCTTTTTGTTACTATAGCAACCAGCCCTGTTACTTGCTCAGTGGGAACCCAGAGACTTGTACCACCTTTTCCTAACAAGAACATTACACTCAATATACAGAAGTGCAGAAGGTCAGTGCACAAATGTACCATGCACTGGGGAATGGACGCATCCTGCCGGTCCTCATTTCCCTTTTGATCCTTTACAAACGCCTTCCCTTGTGCACCTGATTCCCAGATGACAGGCCAGCTGATTGCTTGATAGGTGGTGACAAGCCCATTGACAGCCAGAAGGCAAAGATGAGGGTCTTCCGTGTGAGACTGAAACACAGTTCGTATCAATTTACTGCTCTCTTTTATGTGCGCAGAGCATGTTTTCACTGAAATAACATCTATACAGCAGCATGTAGCTCAAGTGGCTTTGTTCTTCCCTTTTCATTTCATCCCTGGAGCAGAATGGAGTTCGGGGCAGAGGATGCTGTATTAGTGGTCAAACACACAGCTGGAGCCCGTTCTTTCCTTGTAAAGCTCATTGCTAGGAATTCAGTTATTCCTAATTCACACCAGCATTGAATGATAATATGGACCCTGGGCCCATCTTTTCCCTGGCATTCAGTGTGATCTCTACTTGTAAATCTTCAAGCCGAATTCTGATTTCCACTTACAGCTGGTCTAAATCCAGAGTAATAAAACGGAGTTCAAAGGAGGCTTAGACCTTCATGGGGGCGTGCAGGTACTCATCTGCAACTCCCAGCAAATACTTGCAGGCTTGGGCCATTACTTTGATTTAACTGAGAAGCAGCCCTTAGTGCCCCAGCTAATCCACTTGTAACCTGGGGTAATAAAGTACAGCATCTGAGTCCTGAAATGTTGTAAAGCCTGACTAATGCGCTTTGAGAGCCTAAAAAGAATTTAATGATTTTATTTTACAACCGATACAAGAAAACTGAACAAAGACGCATGAAAACTGAACAGACTTTACAAAACTGACGTTAGTACTTGTGCTAGGCTCTTCCTTTGTGTAAAGCATTAATTCTACTTCTAAACCAGTGAGAAACTATTTCAGTGACATGAGGGGGAAAAATCTTAGAAATCAAGATTTCCTTTTTTTTTTCATTCCCATCCGCTCATTTAAAACTGCAACACATTTTTCCTACTTAAAAGGAACAAAAGGAACTCAAACTTTCCAAAAGGATTTTGCTTCAGTCCCTGCACAGTCTTTGATTCAAGGATGGGTATTAACAAAGAATAGCTACTTACGTAGCCTCGACCTTTCTAAATTCTTACCCATATATGGCTTGGTGCCAGCAATAGTTGTGACCTGCATTTCTTTAGTCAGCATTGTGGCAATATTGAAATCTGTGATGTGCACATGTCCTGAAAGAAAAAAAAGTTTGACTGAATGACTCATCTCTTTCCAGGAAAATGTTCACACTTTGAAAAATAATCATCATCCAGAATTAACATGGAAGTAAAAGCAGCAACACCCTTTTTACAGAAAAGGATTTCCTGAAAAATTCCACTTTGGGAAAGGAGCAGAACATTTTTGACTTGTAGGCTACGGCACGGTCTCATGAGTTTACATGCTTCTCTGCAGGTAAAAAGGGAATTGAATACTTTCTGAGGCAAGAAGCTGTCACTTGGATTTTCCCCACAGGAAAATAAAAATTTCCTATGAAAAACCTTCCACTATCCCAAAATGTATTTGAGCAATGAACAATGACCACCTAGCCTGGTGAAAATCCTGCCCATTTGTCATCTCAAGCATTTAATAATTTGCACTCTGTTTCAGGAGAACATTTTTAGATCGACATCAAACATTTTTGTTCAGATGAAACTCATTCTGTTGGAAAATGTTCGAGCAGCTCTATTATCGGTCTTGCTTTGCGTTCTAGTGCTGCTGGTAGTTTAAGTCCAGACCTAACCTACGTTCATCAGTGATATGAAGGTGAAGAGGAGAAAAATGCTTTTATAGAAAATATGTACATTATCTTAGCATTTCTTTTAGCAAGGAATTCAAAGCACGTAAGAAAACAAAATACTATTCTGCTGGTAAAAGTATAAGGCTTAACTCTCCAGCCCAAAATGAACAGCACATGTTGCAGACTGGAAAACAAAGCACAGACAGTCTTTTTGTTCTGTGCTTAGCACTGCAGGGCTTTGGGTCCATGAATGGGGCTCTTAAATGATATACACTTTATACCATCCAGGAATCCAAGCAATGGCTAATTTCCTGAATGGCAGCAATCTATTGCCTTTTCAGGAAGGCATAATATGGGGGAGTCAAGTAGAAGAGGCTTAGGCTAAGACCTTAACGGAGAAGAATATTACAATTTCCACCTAAACAGCATAAGTGATGCAGAGAAGTTCAGGCTTTCTGGTCTCCTAGCAGTAGTTTTATCCTGATGCATGCCATGAAACACCTCCCCAAAGGAATATAAAGAACATCAATGGAATATTAGTCAGTTGAACATGCGACATAAAAGACAATGATGGAAAGAGACAGAAAAAGGCATTCAGGAGGTGAGAACATAAGAGAAAAAATGGCTATGCTGGTAATGGACAAAAGCTGGAGGAAATATTGATTGAACAAGAGAGAATTTACATCCAAATGTTCAAATCCAAAGCCCTGCATTTAAATTTATATCTTATAGCATAACTGTCATTACTAACACCATGGTAATAGTGTAATAGATGGCTGAATTATTATATTGTTATTAAATCTCAAGAAATAAGGCTAATGAACATAATGTTTAAATACCACAATCATCCCATTCAAATGAATCAGGATTTTTCCTGGAAGTATTTAAGAGTGACTGCCCATAGAGAAGGAGAACAAACACATGGCCATTCCAAATGAGCCCAATGCCTCTAAAACTTTGCAAGGCAGGGGGTGCACTGGGCTATGTTATTTATAATTGGGGAAAACTGCAAACACCAAGTGGAGCCAATCAATTTAATAGCTAGACTATGGCATTAGATTACCATAATGTGTTCTGCAATAGGCTACTTGCTGAAACCACTCAAAAATTAAAGCCAGTGCAGAATGTAAAATCAGCTAACAAACCCCCTCTGATCCCAAAGGTAAGAAATCCTGGGCCTGCCTTGTACTGGGATGGGAAATCCCCTTGGACTATACAAGCCAAGGAGCTGTGGTCATACTCAAACTCTGGGTAGGTATTAGCCCATAGAAACCAAATGAGTGGCAAGACTAGTTCATTCAGCCCCATCACTACTGCTGAGCTGACAAGCAGAATGCCAGGAAGAAATGGTGACTGAGACAGCCTGCCTCGTAGGCAGAATTTCAACGGGAAGTGTGTTTTAATGTGATATTTTTCCAATGTTTAGTAATCAAAGTAAATATAGCACCCGAACACCCACCAATTTATAGAAGAGTTTTTATCTTGGTATGTATGCATATGGATAGCTCCCACAAATGGGAGAATTGACCGCATATGATGCATATATTCCTCTTGATTATTTCACCCTTCCACTCTCCCTTTGGCCATTACAGGTGAAAGACAATTTGATTGAAGGTATGTATTCTTGATACATTTCACATGCTCTGTTGCCATGTTATATTAGGGTCAGTCACCATGGCTTCCAAATAAATTGATCTGCTACAGCAAATACCACCCACTTAAAGAAGACAACCAAGAGGTGCTGTATTATCAAGAAAGAACTTAATCCAGTCCTAGCCAGATCTTGTTACAGGGAAGCTGTCTCTACCTATCCTAGTGACCTTCAAATGCCAAGGCCAGAAAGATGACTTTTTGTCCCAGGTGTTCAGCACATTCCAGGACAGAACATTTATTCTAGGTGGAAAGTTCCACAATTCTCAGATATGTTCATGTTCAAGCAACAAACATTGACCTTCTACCTTAGCTAATATCTTCCTCTTTTGTAATATCATGCATTTAATACTACTCCCCAAGTTGTTTCTAGAAAGACATAAGATCTGCCCCAAATATTTTTGCTTAGATGAAATCTTAGCAACAAAATTAGGGAGTTGGACATGATATGTTTACTAAATCTTGTGAAATCCATTTGTGGGGCAGGGTATGGGAAACATCAATACACAGTATTTTCATTAGGGCTACAGAGAGAGAAAATGGAAATATGTGTCTTCCCAAAATGTAAAGGCAGCTTCAAACAGGATTGTAGGAACTCAGGGCTGGCAGACAGAGAGCACAGGGACCGGTGGGGATAGGGAGCTGGATTACTGATGTCTCCTGTGGGTGTATAAACTAGGCAATTCTTCCTGACCCTCAAAAGTAAGAACAAGAATGAAACTCTATGAGTTATTCCTAGGCAGAGATGAGTGCAGGGGCTGTCTATAATGAGGACAGCAATACCTGGCCCAAAGAGAGCTGTATACATAATTTTTTAGTAAATTGACAGGTTAAAAATATGATCCACAGTATATTTGCTCCATAATTTGAACACTGATGAATAATAATTTTCTGTGTTGATCCGATTCTCATTTCTTAATGTTCTAAGCCTGACAACATCGGCTTTAAGATAGGATCAGATTCTCCAACTAGAGAAAGTTGGTTGAATACATTTTTGGATAACTTGATAACAATTGGGGCCAGTGGAACCATATAAATACAGCTGTGTAACACCCTTGTGCCCCAAAGGTGGTCTTCTATGGCAGTTTACACAGATCCTTAGCGTCCTCCTGTAGTATACAAGAGAGTGCATAGGCACCTCAGCTGGCTATACTTGGGCAGACCGCCCTGCAGACTGGTGTTGATGGCCAACACAAGGCAGTGAAATTCATTCCGACTCATAGAGTCCAATCCTGCAAGGTAGTCAGCACTTAGAGAGTGTCCCCACTTCATGGTGAGTTCATGCATCTCCCTGTAAGGTGATAAGCACTCTCAGCCCCTGTAAACTTCAATGGGGGTTGAGCGTGTTTAGCACTCAGTAGGATTACACTCTCAAGAGCTGCATACTTCAGACCAAGGCTCTGTGTGTGGACTGTGTTCTGCAGATTCATCATCTCTTTTCTGCTAGATGAAAAAAAAAAACTTTTATTGTTTCTCCTTTCTTCACCAAAGATATTAAATCATCAAAACAAGATGGCTTATGAAAGTTGAATCTCATAGTTTACACAACCCTAGGAATTCCCAACTGTTTTTATTTAATATGTTAAAATAAGGCCACCCTCTTTTGATGAATAAGAACAAAACCTACAGTAATTAGCTACTGTTTTGTGGCTGGACAATGACAAAGAGTTTAAGTGCAGGGTTTTGTTCACTTCTTTTTGGTTTTCGGGGGGTTCTGCATAATAGCTAACTGCTGGTTGGAGCTGTAAAGCCAGTCATGTAAGATTAAAACTGAGAGAGAGAAAGGAAGGAGACCTATATGCTAGGTTTCCTGCTTCATGCATAAGTGCCCTAGAGTGAGAGAAGAGTGAGTAGGAGCAGTCTTCATTTACAAAACAAATGGGAAGAGTCCTGTATAGTTGTGTAGGTGTTAATCAATGTCTTTCCAGATAGACATTACAAAATATAATTGGAAATATGAACCAAAATCATAAATTCTCTTGTAGCTATTACCATATTTCCCTCAATACAAGATGACTTTGAATTTAAGAAGACACTCAATGATTA